GCTGGGGCCAGAGCCGTCCGCCGCTGCCGCCCAGGGCGAGAAGCCCCTGGGCATCTACTCCCTGCTGCCGAACCACAAGACTGAGCCGGTGCTCGGCGTGCCACCCTCCGTGGCGTCCGCCCTGCACGTGCAGCCGGCCCTGGCCGTCTCCATGGACTTCAGCGCCTACGGGGGGCTGCTGCCCCAGGGCTTCATCCAGCGGGAGCTGTTCAGCAAGCTGGGGGAGCTGGCGGCCGGCATGAAGACGGAGAGCAGAGCCCTGGGCGAGCAGTGCAGCGTGTGCGGGGCAGAGCTGCCGGACAACGAGACCCTCGAGCAGCACAGGTGAGTGCCGAAGCCGCGCCGCTGCGTTCTGCACCGGGCGGGCGGGATCTCGCTGGAGGATTTCGGTTTCTGGCCGGGCATCGCACCTGCTGGTGCAAAGTTCCCGCTGCGTACCCCAAAACTGGGACGCGGAGCGGCGAGCTCGGAGGGACAGCTGTCGCAACTTTTCGGGTCTGGCAGCCATGCCAGAAGGTTCCTTCCAGCGAGTGCCGGCTGGGGAGGACAGCCCAGACCGTAGGTGTTTCCTGCTAGCACAAACCTCGCCGTTTTCCCTGGCCGGCGTCCACCAAACGGCTCACGTCGCTACCCTTTGAGTGAGGGATCCGCGTGTAAAGGGATGCCGAGGGGTCAGGCAGCCCGCGCCCACCCTCTGCCGAGAGCTGAATCCTCCTGCGCCAGCACCCGGGTGCGTCTGTGCGGGGCGAGGAGGGGAGAGACCTGCGGGATCCCCATGCCCGGCTGCAGTGATGATATTTGGGATCGCTGCATGCAGCGCCTTGCCAGCCCGGTAGTTTTATGCCACTCAGCTTCCCGGTCTATGTAATATTTGCGCTTTGCACAAAGTAACGCGTAGGTCAGGCTGGGGGACGCTGGGGCGAGCGCAGAGGGCTGGTGCTGCCCCAGAGCCATGGGTCCGTCCCTGCGGGGATGGGTTCAGGGTTGAACCTCCAGTGGCTGCGGATGCGATTTCAGGGCTCCCCTGCTAGGGGTGGGGGGGATCTTCGTGCTCACGACGAGCCCTGCAACTCGGGGATCTGCTGCGGGGTGGGAGCGCGGTGGTTGTTATCGGCACGTGAGTTTGGTGCTCCCCCGTTTACCACCTCACAATCGTGGGAGCGGGGACCAGAGCTCGTTCCTCGATTTGGCCGGGGAATGGAGTCACGTTAATTACCGCGCCTAAATCAGCATCGCCAGTCAAACCCCTTGGCGCT